GTGCAGGGGACCTATCCCTGTGTAGTGGAAAACTATCACTATAGTGCAGGGGACCTACCCCTGTGTAGTAGAAAACAATCACTATAGTGCAGGGGACCTATCCCTGTGTAGTGGAAAACAATCACTATAGTGCAGGGGACCTACCCCTGTGTAGTAGAAAACAATCACTATAGTGCAGGGGACCTATCCCTGTGTAGTGGAAAACAATCACTATAGTGCAGGGGACCTATCCCTGTGTAGTAGAAAACAATCACTGTAGTGCAGGGGACCTATCCCTGTGTAGAAAACAATCACTGTAGTGCAGGCAGGGACCTATCCCTGTGTGTAGAAAACAATCACTATAGTGCAGGGGTGTGGAAAACCTATCCCTGTGTAGTGGAAAAAATCAATCACTATAGTGCAGGGGGGACCTATCCCTGTGTAGTAGAAAACAATCACTATAGTGCAGGGGACCTATCCCTGTGTAGTAGAAAACAATCACTATAGTGCAGGGGACCTATCCCTGTGTAGTAGAAAACAATCACTATAGTGCAGGGGACCTATCCCTATATAGTAGAAAACAATCACTATAGTGCAGGGGACCTATCCCTGTGTAGTAGAAAACAATCACTATAGTGCAGGGGACCTATCCTGTGTAGTGAAAACTATATGCACTATAGTGCAGGGGGGACCTATCCTGTGTAGTGGAAAACTATCACTATAGTGCAGGGGACCTATCCCTGTGTAGTAGAAAACAATCACTATAGTGCAGGGGACCTATCCCTGTGTAGTGGAAAACTATCACTATAGTGCAGGGGACCTATCCCTATATAGTAGTGGAAACAATCACTATAGTGCAGGGGACCTATCCCTGTGTAGTAGAAAACTATCACTATAGTGCAGGGGACCTATCCCTGTGTAGTGGAAAACAATCACTATAGTGCAGGGGACCTATCCCTGTGTAGTAGAAAACAATCACTATAGTGCAGGGGACCTATCCCTGTGTAGTAGAAAACTATCACTATAGTGCAGGGGACCTATCCCTGTGTAGTAGAAAACTATCACTATAGTGCAGGGGACCTATCCCTGTGTAGTAGAAAACTATCACTATAGTGCAGGGGACCTATCCCTGTGTAGTAGAAAACTATCACTATAGTGCAGGGGACCTATCCCTATATAGTAGTACATATGTGTGTGTGTGTGTGTGTGTGTGTGTGTGTGTGTGTGTGTGTGTGTGTGTGTGTGTGTGTGTGTGTGTGTGTGTGTGTGTGTGTGTGTGTGTGTGTATGGGGTGTGTAGTGTGTGTGTGTGTACATATGGGGTGTGTGTGTGTGTACATATGGGGTAATGTGTGCATATGGGGTAGTGTGTCAGTGCATATATGTGTACATATGCGGTAGTGTGTAAGTGTGTGTGTACATATGGGGTAGTGTGTGAGTGCATATATGTGTACATATGGGGTAGTGTGTCAGTGCCTATGTGTGTACATATGGGGTAGTGTGTGAGTGCATATATGTGTACATATGGGGTGTAGTGTGTGATGTATGTGTGTACATATGGGAGTAGTGTGTGAGTGCATATGGTGTGTGTACATATGCCTAGCGTGTGTGCATGTGGGGTAGTGTGTGTGTGTGTACATGTGTGGTAGTGTGGGTGTGCACATATGTGTGTACATATGCGGTAGTGTGTGTGTGTACATGTGGGTGTGTATAGTGTGTGTGTGTGTGTACATGTGGAGAAGTGTCTGTGTGTACATGTGGGGTGGTGTGTGTGAATATATGTGTGTGTGCACTTGCGTGCGTGTACATGAGGGCTAGTGTGGGTGTACATGTGGGTGTACATGTGTGAGTGAGGGTGTGGTGTACATGTAGTAGTGGGTGTACATGGGTGGTAGTGTGGGTGTACATGTGGGTGTACATGTGGGGGTAGTGTGTGTGGGTGTACATGTGGGGTAGTGTGGGTGTACATGTGGGTGTACATGTGGGGTAGTGTGGGTGTACATGTGGGTGTACATGTGGGGTAGTGGGTGTAGTGTGGGTGTATGTGGGTGTACATGTGGGGTGTGGGTGTGGGTGTACATGTGGGTGTACATGTGGGGTGTACATGTGGGTGTACATGTGGGGTAGTGTGGGTGTACATGTGGGTGTACATGTGGGGTAGTGTGGGTGTACATGTGGGGTAGTGTGGGTGTACATGTGGGGTAGTGTGGGTGTACATGTGGGGTAGTGTGGTGGGTGTACATGTGGGGTAGTGTGGGTGTACATGCATAGTGTGGGTGTGGGTGTACATGTGGGGTAGTGTGGGTGTACATGTGGGTGTACATGTGGGGTAGTGTGGGTGTACATGTGGGGTTACATGTGGGTGTACATGTGGGTACATGGGGGTAGTGTGGGTGTACATGTGGGGTAGTGTGGGTGTACATATGGGTGTACATGTGGGTGTACATGTGGGTGTACATGTGGGTGTGTACATGTGGGGGTGTATGTGGGTACATGTGGGTGTAGGGTGTGGGTGTACATGTGGGTGTACATGTGGGTGTACATGTGGGGTAGTGGTGGGTGTACATGTGGGGTAGTGTGGGTGTACATGTGGGGTAGTGTGGGTGTACATGTGGGTGTACATGTGGGGTAGTGTGGGTGTACATGTGGGTGTACATGTGGGGTAGTGTGGGTGTACATGTGGGGTAGTGTGGGTGTACATGTGTACATGTGGGTGTACATGTGGGGTGTACATGTGGGTGTGTGTGTGGGTGTACATGTGTGGGTGTACATGTGGGTGTACATGTGGGGTAGTGTGGGTGTACATGTGGGGTAGTGTGGGTGTACATGTGGGGTAGTGTGGGTGTACATGTGGGGTAGTGTGGGTGTACATGTGGGGTAGTGTGGGTGTACATGTGGGTGTACATGTGGGTGTACATGTGGGGTAGTGTGGGTGTACATGTGGGGTAGTGTGGGTGTACATGTGGGTGTACATGTGGGGTAGTGTGGGTGTACATGTGGGGTAGTGTGGGTGTACATGTGGGGTAGTGTGGGTGTACATGTGGGGTAGTGTGGGTGTACATGTGTGATGTGGGTAACATATATCTTCAGTTTATTTGTCTGCACATAATCTGTACTCCTGTCAAACGTGGGAGCAGTTAACATGGCGAGAACTGATGAAGATACAAGATACGATATTTTTTTGCGCAAACGTTCCATGTAGTGACAATATTCTATAAACTACATAAATAAGTCAGAGTAATAATACGTAGACTACATTTGTTGGATGTTGTATATATGGTAGCAGATTATTTCTATGCTATCTGGTTCATTACTTGTAAACAGGAGGTTATTTGTTTCTGTGGTGGTAAGGCTTTGAAAGTACTTTGAGAGGAAAGGGACTTAAGTCGTCTATTAATTTGGTTTTGTGATCCCGTGCTTCGACTGGTTTAGTTGGACGTTCCTGCATTGATTGTGGCGAGTTCCAGGACACGACACTGACCCTTTGTCCCTGGACAGCCCTATGTGTCCGACTGGACGAGGCCGCTCTGGACGAGGCCGCTCTGGGTAGAGGAATGAGCTAGACCAAACAGCCGTTCCTATTGTACATAGTCAGATTTATTTCACAACGCGAAGTGCAGTTTTATATTACTATCAAAAGAAATGAATAACATAGACTATATTTCATAGTCACTTTACGGTAAACTGTAAGGATTTGTCTATTTCATAATGGAAAAAAAGAAGAGTTTTTCTCGAAAATGCTTTTAAATATATTGTTGAGTGCATGTAAACTGTTGTTCATATAGTTGTTGTATTTTTAAACTGCTTCTCGTGCGACCTGCTCGGGGAGGTCTGTAAATGTCAGAGTCGTACAGGAGGGGTCGCTACGTATTATTAAACATGAGCACTCTAGGTGTGCTCAGCGCGTCAGCACTGGCAGCGGAACTTTCAACTTCCTCGGTGTAATCCTACTTGTCGAATGTTCAATAATTATACCCCAATATTTCAGTGAGTATTTGTACGCATGAGACAAGGTGCCTGCATGTCTAGTGCTTCGAGGGCGTCATCCCAGTCACAATGCCGTATGGTTCATGTGTTCAGTTGCTACACGTGCCCATGTCACTCCAGGCAAAGTCACCAAAGTAAAATCAAAGCAACTATATCATCAAGTTCTAGGGATCGTCAACTTCTTTATTGCAATGAGTGCGACGTTTCGGTGTAGGTACTAACACAGTTATCAAGCAAGTGATATCATCATAGAACTTGGTTTTCCTTCATCTTTACAACTTCTAAATGCCTCTCAAAGAACTACATTGTATATCACCGGAATGTTCTAAACTTCTGATGAGTAACGTGTTATACCGCTAAAGAAGGTAAGGAATGCCAGATTGTTTATATTGCTACAGGTACCCTGTTAAAGCATAAGTGACAGGTGATAGTGGGATAAAATCGCGTGTTTAACAGATATAGTTATATACGATGTTGACTAATACCAAAGTATGGTTTTTTTCCAATTTAACAGGAATACGATCAAAATGGTTCTTTGTGTCTAACTGTTGCACCCCCTTCCCCGACCCCCCTTCCCTGACCCCTGTGTTTGACCAGCTGTGCCCGGTGATGATCGAGCGCCGCATATGACCCCTGTCCGCTAGCAGCCGTGATATATGACCAACGGTCATTCTTGCCTGTCTCATAATGTTCAATGTTACTTGCTACAACTCGGTCAGTTAGGTCACACTGACCCAAGCATCAGAGCGGAGCTATCTCTATTAGCACCCTTGTGATCGTCTCATTCTAACTGGACAATAATTTGGCGGGTTAGTATCTCTTGGTGTTACGCAATCTTCCTCTCAGAGTTAGCCAGACACAGAGATGGCCATTGGATTACCACAGTGAAAGAGAGAGAGCTATTAATAGCAACTGGCCAGTGCTACGTCACGCCAGCTCTTTATGCAGCCATTGTGCAAGCGGGTCACTCCGAGTTCACGCATTCGCAAACACTGTATAAGCATTGGTCACTGACAGCGCGTCAGTTGGGCTGACCTGTGCTGGAGTAAAGAGAGCTCGGACGTCGTCCGCTGCCGCAACAGCTTGGATACTATTTTGATTGTGTATACCACCCGGATACCTACCTCACTTCCCCCACCCGGATACCACACGTGGACTTCTTATTAACAGTAAGTATTAGAATGGCAGCATAGGTCAGCGTGACATGACATTGGACACGACTGTACTTGACCAATCTGGTCCCGAGTGGTCAGTATCCAGACTCTGCGAGCTTTGGCAGCGGGGTTCCTTGTGTGGTAGAGAGGGTCGTGGATGTCTCCTCGGAACCTGCCACACCCACCTGGTCCGACCTCAGCTTCGTCGCAGGTCTCATGGTTCAGGTGAATACTATTCCCGTTGGAACTTACTGTGTACCAGGCCTTCTCTGGAAGTGCTCCGGAGCCGACATGGAGCTATGATACATCATCGATCAACACGATTGTGTGGACAGTGGACCTGGAAACAGACACAGGAATTGAGTTGGGCTGGACATTCATGTGATGCCAAGTTTTCCCAGATTATGCAGTACATTCTGCCTCGTGTACCGCTATCCCGGGACCAGGCGTTCTGTGTATACACATGGGACTGGACACTGTACACGGCTTTCCTTACGTTAATTTACTTTCCTTGCGTTAATTTACTGGACTATTTGAAAACTCTCACCGTTGTTTTGTATTACGTATATTTAGACGTGGTTTTTAACAGTCGCCTGTAATTGGTCACAGCCGTGTAAGTACAACATGAAAACTATTCAGGATTCAAGATATGACTAGAACAATGCGTTGATTAAGATTCTGTGAGACAATTTGGGCCGATCCCTTGTCGACCCTCAGTACAACCCTCGTTCGTTGTCTAACAACAGGGGTCTGACAGACGGAAAGGAGGCGTCGTGTCGCCTTATCTCGCAATGCAGCAGGATGGACAATCACTCACCTCCAGACCATCTATATTAATTATTGTTTCGTTATTCAGTTTCTGATTTTTGATAATTTCTGACAGTTTTTGGTGATAACATACAACAGCGTTTAAACATGCCTGGAAGGAGATTGGTGTATCCTAAATTGCGAGAATACGTATGGAAATTCAAACTCTTTCTGATCTGTCGATTTCTGTTTACGTAAACCTTAGACTTCACATTGCTGTAGCGCTATTCAAGACAAGGTAGATATGATGTTCAACTATTGTTCAAAGTCTGTGTAGACCATGCGGGCCAGGCCGACCGTTCTTGAGGCAGTTATTAGACCGACACCCGAAACAGTACCAAGTGACACTGAATCCCGCATTGAAAGACTACAGCAGCTGAAACATATGCCGCTGTTTTCGATACATGATACGAATGCCAACTATTTAAAAGAAGTCAAAGAACACACGATTATTTCCTATGACAACAGTAAATGTGTCTTGGTATGATGATGTTTGTGTATTCGACCTGTTGGTTTTAATCTTTTGATTCTTTATTGTTTCAGTACATGAGCCATGGCCGACACAGCCCTCGACCTGAGTAAACCATCCCTACCGCCGCCCACGGAGCGCGTGGCCCCTCTTCCCCCATCCCTGCCGTCTCTGCCCCCCGACATCAGCAGCGACTCCGGCAGGGCGTCCACGTCCTCCACCAGCTCAAATGACGAGCTTCGCCAGCCTGCACCCGACCCCGAGACCCGGGGCCGAGACAGTCCCCTGGATGTGAAACCCCCGCTTCTATCCCCGTCTCCGTCGATGGACAGTGTGTCTGAGGACGACGACCATGACAAGTCAGACAGAGTTGCTCCAATCCGGCCGTTCAAGATGTACCCGATGGACGCCTACTCCGGTAGCCCGATGGCCGGCATGTCCGGGATGGGCGGCCTCAGCCCGACTACAGCTGCCGCGGCCGGCCTCAGTCCATCACTCGGAATGCCGCCCATGATAGACCCGGCATCTGTGTCGCCCTTTGCCATGACCCCCATGACGTCCCACTTATTACAACGAAAACGACGGGCAGAGAACCGCATACAAATCACGGAAGACGCGAAGAAAACGATACCTGTCCCGGAAGAACGGAAAGATGATGCATACTGGGAACGGCGGCGGAAGAACAACGAGGCTGCAAAGCGGTCAAGAGATGCACGGCGGATGAAGGAAGAGGAAATTGCAATGAGAGCAGCCTATCTGGAACAGGAAAATCTCAAACTGAGAGCACAGGTTGCCATCTTAAAGAACGAGACTGCCAAGTTGCACTACATGTTATATAACAGAATGTGATGTGGGAAACTATAGACTTCCTCAATCTCAGGGATACAAACGGTCACGCCCCGCGCCTTACCCGACTGTGGTGCCCACGGGCCCCGTCCAGCCTCGTGACAGAGACACGCATATAGGCAGGGGCGGAGACACCACCGAGTGAGTGAGTGAACGCGTCCAGCTCGGATGCGTGCCGGTGACTAGAACACGAATCTCAAGTCACGTGACACAGTGCACGTGCATATGTGTGTATATTTTTGTACAGACTCATGTATCTAGGTCAACGATTGTTCATCTCAGGTTGTCGCGGTGTTGTCTGACCGTGACGTGGAACGGCTGCCTCGCCGGCTGCTGTAACTACCTCAACAACATTCTGGATAAGCTTCAAGTCCCTCTCTCGAGGCAATCTGTTTTGTTTGGTATTCTCTCTAGCTAGGTACAAAATGTTTTTACTTGGAAAATGTGATGAAGATTATATTTACATGAGTGTAAGTGCTATCATTAGATGATGCTGTCGGCGATGACGCCGAGTGCAGAAGTAGGAATGGTTGTCGCAGGAGCGAGTTCTCTATACAGCGTGTAAGTGCTATCATAGGCCCGGCAGACATAGTAGCTAGACTAGAAGCCAAGATGTTTCTCTCTTATATATCATTATTACTATTATTATTGCTATTATTATTATTTGGATTATATATTGTCGCTGCTTCTCCCTCCATCAGCCTGTGCATTACTTGGTGCAGCTGCACTGTGAGCTGACCAAGGCAGAGTATTTTGTCATCTACACATTTGTATGAATAAACAATGCAGAATCACTCGCCTATCTTTTTCTGGTTTTTCCCTACGGTAAGAAGGTAAACAGATGGTGTTTGTGTCCAATACCTGAACATTTCTTGTGGAGTTAACATCGGTAGCCGGAGACTTCAATGTCAAAATTTCAATAACTCCGGGAAATCTGACCACACCTCATGTCGCTGGACACTTGATTAATTGTCCTTGGCACCCTCTGCGTGAATTATACATGTTTGAAACACTCATACTTTAATCACTTTATTCAGAATTGAAGGCCATGTGGCCAAGAGTACAACAGGCAATACAACATTGTCATGGTGTGTAGAGGTGACATATTATTCATAATACAATTATTTTAACGTAGGTTTTGCTTCAGGAATATACATATTCCTTTAAGAACAGTGAAACTGTGTATCTTCATAAGGGCTCGGAATTTGACAATTGAAGGTGGGCTGTAGAAATAGGCTGGAATACATTGGGATCTGCATCGGTTATAAAATGGACATATTAGCAACAAGTGATATTCGTCTTCAAGCACGTTTAAAGTACATTTGTTACAAACTAATTCTTTATATGGGACAATTATCTTTGAAAAACGTTGTTTTTGTATATTCAAGTTATGTGATTGACATCGGAATTTGATCAACATTCGCATAAGATCTTTGTTTGATGCGCCACAGGAAATATACAGTTCAGGTTCAAGAAGTGACTTAAATGTACTATAATTTACAAGAAATGATGAGTTTCTTATTTCACTATTCCAGTGTTGTATATTAATATCTATACAGCGTTGTTTGAAGTCAAACATGAAGAGATTTACATCGCCACAATCTTGGGCTAACCAGACATAGGAGAAACCTGCTGTAAATAGAAGCAGTCCAACATGTGAAACCCAGTTTGTGCCTCCGTTATCATTATAGGCATTTGGGTATCTATTTTGGTCCATACGAATAATTCGGCACCAATATTTAATACAACTTGAATAGTAATATACACACAAGTTATATCTGCCAATTTCTCCAAGTACCGCACATGATCAAATTTTATTAATGACTGACAGAAATCATTTATAGTACTCACTGTGAACCTTTTCAATACACGTTCTATAAGTATAGCTCCAAATTTCACTTCCATAGGTTAAAATTGGTAGTATCTTACTGACAAATATATTATGAGCAATAGTTAAAGACATACTTCGATACTTGGTGAACAGTTGAAACAGAGGGAAACATGCACGTTTGGCTTGTAAAGATAGAGTTTCACAGGCTTTGGACCAAACTAAACGAGATGAAAATACAATTCCTAAATATTTATAAGGGGTGGCCTCTACAGGTAGACCTTTCAAGAAACATTTTTCATTTCTCTTAACGCGTCCTCCGTTTCGAAAAACAACCACCTTAGATTTATCCAGGTTTACTTCAAAGCTCCGCGTGTTACAAAAATTTTCAAGAATGTCTAAGTTTCTTTGTAAATCAACAATGCTATGTCCTAGTAGTGCAACGTCATCCGCCCTTCATTAAGTAAAGCATTAAACTCGGCCCAGCTACGCAGTCGTCTTTCAAGAACATAAGTGAAAATTTGACCAATGACACTTAACATGGATATTCCCCGATAGTTGTTGGGATCAGACATATTTCCTTGTTTATAGATAGGTACCAGTAAACCAACATTCCAAGCAGAGGGAAATACTCCTGAATCTAACATGACATTAAACAACGCATAGAAATCATCAGCAAGGGAAGGTGCATTCTTCGTGGATTCTGGTGGAAGGCCATCTATTCCTGGTGACTTGCCCGATGAAGCACCCATACGTCACTAGGCCATGTCATGGCGGCAGGAGACAATGGATGGCATAATGTGTTCCTGAATGGAACTCGCATTGCTTGTAGAACAACAAGTCTGATTACACAAGTAGAATTGAAAAAGAAAATATTGTTATGAAGAAAGGCATTCATACGGTGGTAAATGACTGCACGATTTACGGAGAATCCATTCCCGGCCCGAACAGAACTGACTGAACTGGTCGTAATATGTCTAACAGTCCCTGAACCACATTATTTTCCCTACTGCCTGGCCCTCCCTGCAATGTAGTCTGTCTCACAGTCCCTGAACCACATTATTTTCCCTACTGCCCAGCCCTCCCTGCAATGTAGTCTGTCTCACAGTCCCTGAACCACATTATTTTCCCTACTGCCAGCCCTCCCTGCAATGTAGTCTGTCTCACAGTCCCTGAACCACATTATTTTCCCTACTGCCGAGCCCTCCCTGCAATGTAGTCTGTCTCACAGTCCCTGAACCACATTATTTTCCCTACTGCCCAGCCCTCCCTGCAATGTAGTCTGTCTCACAGTCCCTGAACCACATTATTTTCCCTACTGCCCAGCCCCTCCCTGCAATGTAGTCTGTCTCACAGTCCCTGAACCACATTATTTTCCCTACTGCCCAGCCCTCCCTGCAATGTAATGTAGTCTGTCCCTCACAGTCCCTGAACCACATTATTTTCCCTACTGCCCAGCCCTCCCTGCAATGCAATGTAGTCTGTCTCACAGTCCCTGAACCACATTATTTTCCCTACTGCCCAGCCCTCCCTGCAATGTAGTCTGTCTCACAGTCCCTGAACCACATTATTTTCCCTACTGCCCAGCCCTCCCTGCAATGTAGTCTGTCTCACAGTCCCTGAACCACATTATTTTCCCTACTGCCCAGCCCTCCCTGCAATGTAGTCTGTCTCACAGTCCCTGAACCACATTATTTTCCCTACTGTCCAGCCCTCCCTGCAATGTAGTCTGTCTCACAGTCCCTGAACCACATTATTTTCCCAACTGCCCAGCCCTCCCTGCAATGCTAAAACCCTACGTGAAGCAGGTCTAGATTTCCCCAGATTCAGAATCTCGGGTCTCCCTGTGTCTCCTTTTCAGTTTAAATGGGTTTATTTGTTACTATTAAATTATATATATTCAGTGACTAAGCGTTAGTCTAAACTGGTCGCTGTGAGCCGGTAAACTGGGCCCTTTCTCGTATATCTCGATGTACGGGAAGGACCAAAGAGACGATGGTTGTGAACACCGAAATAATCGACACACACAAGGTTAAGTAGTATTTTATTGAATGCCATTTTAGACGGAATCGCTACTCCTCCACGAAAGACGTCTAAAAGAATTTTCTTTTGTTTTGTAAAAACGCTACCATGCAAACGTTGGAAAGTCCTTTGAAAAATGAAATTGTACTTATTTGTTGGAAACTAATTTCCCAAAATTCTAATATGGTAGTATTTTAAGTATGTGATATCAATATTCATGAGAAATAACACTACACGGCTGTATTGTCGCGACCGGCGGCACCCATTGATCACTTTCTGCCTGAGAAATTTGAATGACAGTCAGTTCCGAGGATTTATTTGATTTCCAATATTTTACTTTGTTTACAATAACCATCTGTGACCATGTACTCGTATTGATTAAAAAGGATAAATTTTCATTCTTCAGTGTGAACATCGTAATAACGACTTAACATTTGAGACACGGCTAAAGTGTTTGCACCGTTGCACAACCCCCGAGCTGAATACTGCATAATGGACATACACTTGTCGATGCCGGGGCCACGAAATTATCACAGGAACCAAAATACAAATTTGAAGATCATTTTGTCCTTACATCGAGCTCAATTTACGAACAGTAATTCCCCCATATTTGGGGGTTTAAATTGAAATGTACTAGATAATGACGAGAAAGGTAAACAACTAAACTAGTTGCTAGATCTTTCAGCGCAGCGTCAATATAGAGACGGAGTCCAGGTTGAACAAGCCAAACATGACGTCAGCTATACGAGCAGAGTGTTTTAATGGCGGCCTGTACCGGCTTTAGGCTGTGTTGGAGGGGACCGGATATGTTTTTTATTTCAAGTATACATTTCAGAGAATACATATAGATCTACATAGAATAGAAGGTGACCCTCAGTGAAGAGATGAACGCACTCATACAAGTATGCAAGCACACACAGGTGGCGCTAAGAACGTTTAGTGCAGGTGCACCATCAGGACCTTCCCACGGGAGTGCCAGACTGAGTTGTGCTAACTGATATTGTTTTATTCCGCCATTTGATGGCGTGTTAATTAGCCACGTAAGCAATCGCCACATGGAGTTGATATTTATAAAAGTATGTTCAATTAGTGGAAGTGTGAACGTCAGGTTTGAAATCGTTGCCTGGGTCTATGTTGCTATGTACTGTTTCGTCATAATGTGTAATACACACCACGCG